TTATTGTCTACGAACGGTCACCATGCAAAGCTAGCAGGAGCTAGTTAGGTTTAGTGTTAATTGTCCGTAAAGAAACATAGCTATTCTCCAATGTGAATGGTGAATGGCAGTATGTCCATTCCTGATGTGGAACGTAATTACATACATACATACAATGTATAAATGTCATTGGTTGCGTTCATAAAACGTATGTAGCTGTTTAGCTCAACTGCTACGAAACTGTTGGCAACTGTTGAACTCAACAATTACGTCTTAGAAACGGCTTGATGAATATGATGTCAATGAACAGCTGATAAATGTAAACAAATGAAAATAAATAAATGCGCCAAAATAATAAATTACAATTTTGTGAAATAATTAGTTTACCGAAAGGCATGGATAATAACGAATTTATAATGGAGTTTTTCATGAACGATGCTGAAGGAGTTATCTCAAACTTAATTGAGAATGTAATGGGCGACAACGGGGGAATCAATTTAGAATTGTTCCAGGTGGGAGAGCGTCAAAAGGAAGCCCGGAACAAGAACTACTATGAAATAATAGTTCCGCAATATTCTAACGATTTATTTAAAGAACATTTCAGAATGTCCCGTGGTACATGTGATGTAAGTTCCCCAGAGTGATATGAAAAGTCGTATTTTTTAACATTTTCAATAACTTATAGGAGTTAGTGCGCATAATAGGTAACCGTATTCCCGGTAGAAGTGATTACCTTGCCGACTTGCCAAAAAAAGTGATTTTTACAATCTGGGTTTTGGCGAAGCAAGAGAGTTTTCTTGCAACGGCCGATCGTTTTGGGTTCGCCAAAAGTACTGCTTATAAAGTTTTCAGGGAAATCTTGGCCATTCTTGCTACTATGCTGCCAGCGTTTGTCAAATTTCACAATCGAGTTGAGAGCAACAAGGAGGCTTTGATATTTCAGAGGCGCTCGCGTGGTTTTCCCGGAGTTGTTGGTACAATCGATGGTTGCCACATTCCTATAAAAGCTCCTACAGGCAACCCCACGGATTTCTATAACAGAAATAAGATGAACTCCATAATTCTTCAAGGTTTCTATTATTTTTATTAAAGTATTAAACAACATATAGATATTAACATATTCTACTTAAAGGTACATAAAGCACGTTTTATAGATGTTTTCATTGGAATGCTTGGACGAATGCATGGTGCCAGAGTATTTAGGCAAAGTGAAATATTCTCAAACCTGAATTGCTCTACATCGTCACTGCTGCCTCCACATTTGCATCTTNATAAAGCACGTTTTATAGATGTTTTCATTGGAATGCCTGGACGAATGCATGGTGCCAGAGTATTTAGGCAAAGTGAAATATTCTCAAACCTCAATTGCTCTACATCGTCACTGCTGCCTCCACATTTGCATCTTGTGGGTGATTCAGCATACCCTTTGTTGCAAAACGTGATGACTCCCAATCGTGATAATGGTCACCTAACTACTCAACAACATAACTACAATGTAAAACTCAGTAATTGTCGCTCAATTATCGAACGAGCTTTTGGTTTGCTAAAAGGAAAATTTAGGAGATTGAAATATATAGATATACATACGCCAGAAATTGGAAATGAGATAATTTCAGCAGCATGCACTTTACATAATTTCTTAATAAATAGAAATGAGGTTGATTTTCAACAGATGGATNCGCCAGAAATTGGAAATGAGATAATTTCAGCAGCATACACTTTACATAATTTCTTAATAAATAGAAATGAGGTTGATTTTCAACAGATGGCTGAGGGTACATCAACCGCTGAAGAAAGTGGGCAAAATGCAATCGAAGCTGTAGACGAGGAGGTTTCTGCCGCTTCGAAAAGAAATGCTATTGCTGAAACATTGCTGTAGTGCAGCTTTAAAATATTTCTCCGAATTTTTAGCTATAGAAAAACTAAAACTACAGAAGTGTTTGTACTGATTGCAATTGTTAAAACTATTTGACGGATATGAAAAACAAAATAGATGTTAAGGTTGAACTAGAAATATTAAGTTTTTAAAAATTACCTTTCACACTAATTGATCACTAAAAAATGTAATACATATGTCATTGCAAAGGTAAATGAACTACCCTTATTTTGGTGTATACTATTGCATCAAAAAATTTAAAATGCAGTGAGGGTTTTACAATATACATAAGATGCTTTCCATTTCCAGACAACCGGTCAGGTAAGAGCATGATTTTTA